CTCTCGTGAGTGGCGTAGCTCTGGCCAGTGCCAGGTTCATCATGGAGCCGGCTGGCAGTGGCTCAGTTGGACATGGGGGCAGCTTCTAGCAGCTTCCCACAGAAGCCACCCCTGTAGCCTCCCCGCTATCAAAACCTTGCCACGCAAACCCAATACAACCTTCATCCAAGGGGTCAGATTTAAGCAAGTGACTGTTTTGAGTGTTGTTTGTGCAGCTGGATTCAAGTCACTACTCTACACGCCAGCTGCAACTGAGAAGTTACAGAAAGAAAGAGTCACAACGTATTATTAGTGCAGTCGTTTTATCTTCGGCATTTAACAATTTGTTACATTTAAGAAAGTTTACACAAATGGCTTTTCATCACCAGTGGTATCAGAAACAAAATTTAATGCATACAAAACCCCCAAATATTTGTATTTCAATAAAGAAAGCTGCTACAGAATGGCATCGTTTCACAAGGACAACTTCAGAGTAGAGGCAAGTGCATTTCAGCCACCGTAGCATAAACAGCATGCAGCACATGACATTAAACAGACGCAATGTCCATGTTTGAAACATTAAATAAAAATTAAGATACGTTAAACAACCACTTGAAACATAGGCCATGCTATAAAATGCCCTTTGAAAGTCACCTTAATCACCAAAAAAATCCCAATGAATCATCATTTTTGAGTATTTACTGGTAAAAACTAGTGTAACAGCTCCCCCAGTACATTAAAGATCTATAGTTTGATATTTATTTTTACAATAGAATGCATATAAAGTATTATGATAAAAAGTTCATAATCATGTTCTAAATCATCTTCAAATGTCCATAAAATGCTCTTTTGGTTGAAGCTCAAAATAATTTATGTATTTCTAAAGATGTGGCAAATCACTAAGATTTAATTCCCCATAATTGCTTTTGAAATGCATTCCTCTTGATGATTTTGAATTGCATATCGAAATTTCATATTCATCTGAGCAAGCCTGTTTTACCTAGTGGCACAATTACTATATTCTAAGAGTTCCTTTCTCAGGTTTTTCAGGCTTCAGGAAACAGTTCCCTTTAAAATATGTATTCATCTTTATTTTGTGCAATGTTTTTACAAGGGATAGAGCAGAAGTGCACTAGAAAAATTTATTTTCTAAAAAGGTATTTTTGAAGAAAGTTTTTCTTATCATGTACATGTGGCCAAAGTCCTCGGACACTGAGGAACAACTGACTAGAAGTAAGTGTCCTGTACTAAAAAGAGTACACAATTCTGTAAAAATGGACTACAAAACCACAGTGCTAATAATGCCCAGTTTTTTAGACCTTTATGATAGACATCGTAATGTACATACATAATTTGTGTGACACATTAAGCTTTTACGGGTGATTATTTTGTCTCTTCATAAAAAATAGATTGTAATATAAAGTACTAAAAACAAGCTATATAACTTGTACCACATGGAGTTTTTATATATATATATATGACATTTTAAAAGGACTATTATATGATAATATATTAAAAGATCACTTTCAAGTAAATTATGATTCAATTTCATAGACAAGAACATGTCTATAATACATATTCCAGCACGATCTATTCCCAGTAATCTGAAATATGCAAAATAAAGCCTGTATAAACTTACAGAAGTTTACTTCCACATTTCTCAGTTTCAAGCGTATTCATTTCTGCATGCAAGATTCCTGATGCCTTAATGGGAACTAAGTATTGGGGCCTATTCCAAAGGAATTTGAAGAAAACTGCAGTGTTCCTCACAGGCTCAATGAAAGCAAATCTAATCACATTTTCAAGAATGACTAATCATTTGGGTTCTGCCTTTCAGACCCAAGAATATGTTTTGAAAAGCTTATGTCCTCATCCAACAGACTACAGAAGGGGAAGTTGCTCTGTGGTACTCTGTAAGGCCACTCTCAAGTGCTTTTGGGAATATAGGTCAGAAGACCTACCTTAAAAATACTTAATACCCATTAAGATTGAAAGATCAGTACATACACATATTAGATTTAAGATCCATATGACCTCCACTGGATAAACAAAATGCTTATAAACATTATATACAAAAACTTACTCCACCCTCCCAACATCATGTTTTAGGTGTTTATCATCAATCTCAATTACAGTTGAGAAGTTCTGAATGATTCCTACTTTAAGTGGTGAATGCTTCTTCTGTAACTGCTATACTCCGAACAGCTTATAATACTGGCATTCCTTAATGTAACAGAGGCTAAGTTCTGGTTCCAATAATTAGAGGAGTACCAGAACTTGGCCTAGTATGAACCTGGTTTTGGTTACAAAAGCAGTTATGCTATACTTTCTTGCTTCAAAGTCTTCTCAGAAACATAATTGTTTTATTAGATGTTGCTCTACAAAAATACAATGTAAGCACAGTACATTTTATCTACAATTGTTTTGTCATTTCATAATTGCATTGCTATATGTAAATATATTTAAGTTGAAAAATAACATTATGTTTTAATGGTGGCAAAACAATAAATACTTTTGCCAGCTCTTTCCCACTGCAAATCATAATAAATGCTTGCCTTGAAAACTAATAATTCAGTGGCTGTTACAAGTGACACAATCCATTAAACAAATTTAGTCTATTAAATATGAATGTCCTTGAAATTAATTTCTTTCCAGTGAATTTCAGAAACTATCCGCACACATTTTACAAGATCTCTCTCATTAATAGTCACTGGAGTGGGCTGTTCTTAGTAGGGAAGTCAGATCACTGTCTTGAAAGGTTAAAAAAGGGGGTACAGAAACAGGACATTTTTTAATTGGTAGGTGTTTCTGTTTCTGCTTTCCCCATTGGTGCCTCAGGAAAAAGTAGTTTTCTAAGTATGTTTGCATAGAATGGTCCGTACACTTGTTTATTAAAGTTTACAATGCTCGCATACTGAGATCCAAGGAACTCCATCTCTGTCTGAATCACAGAAAGGCCTCCTGGCATAGTAGGCATACACTTCTGAAAACTCGGAAGAAGATTCGTTTGTCTGAAATGGAATATAAAGCATGCTCAGAACAAATGTAAACCTAAGATGAAGCCATACTCGCTTTGTAAGCGCCCTGCACATCAGCACAGCAACAAAAAAAAAAAAAAAATCCAACAATGTAGGTAACAACTGTTTACCAAGCCAATGCTGCAGCGGGAAACAATACTGAAAGCTTCTTAAAAGTTGGCTCCTGCAAGGTGGACACAGCATAAACCTGCTGCAACAAGTTACATTACTTAATATGAAGCAGACTCAAAGAAAAAGACTACTAGGTTTAAACCCAAAACTGACAGAAGTGAGACTGAGTAGCACTCATTTTTCCAAATGCTTCTCCAAAATACTAGCATCTCTAGGCTTGTTTGTATAGACACTTTTAACATTATTTCTAGCTGCAACTAACCATGTTCTGCAGCATACCAAGAACACCATCTATAGGTGAACAACATTTCCTTGCTCTTAGTTCACCCAGTATTTTATTGCAGTAAGAAAGTGCTTTTAAAAAATAATTAGACAGCTGATTAAGCTTGCTGGAAGTAAGTTTATATACAGACACATACAGTAAGACAACTATGCATTATCTTACTAACCAATCAAGGAACTGACGGGATTATTCTCCTCAACAATATGAGCAATTTGACCCATTAAATTACTCTGCATTTCTTCATTAAGAGTAGGAAGACCTCTTTCAGTTAGAGACCTGTTCACTTTGCTGCAAATCTGGACCCCAATAGCATTCAGAGCCTCCTTCAAATCAAAAGTTCTGGAAGAAAGAAATAGAAAAGCATTAACTTTTGCAGTTTCTGTAGCACAGGTTATAAGATGACCTCCCTTGTCTCCTTTCCCTTTTATTTTCAACCTGCTCTCTGCAATGAGAGAATTTAGAAAAGTTCTTTTGCTTTTGTAGATTTATGTACATCTATACATACAGGACAAATCTCCATGTGGAAGATAAAATAAGGACCTAATTGTGATTGAAACAGGAAAAAGTATTTCAAGTGTGCAGCAGTTGCACCAGTTCATTTTGCCCTTACACTTCGGCGTTTTCCTGGGCCACATGCATAGCATTTAATGAGAAAAAAGCAGAGCGGAAAGCTGTTTTTATGAGACACACTTTTCAGATCACATCAGACTTCCTTGTAGTGCAAGTGGCAGCAGAAACAGGCAACCAAATAGCTTAAGCTACCTACAAGTTTGAAGCAACTGGCAAGATGATTTAATTAATGTATTGTCAGTCTCTCCTGTATTAGGAGCATATGAATGAACTTTAGTACTGCGCTCCAAATTCTGTAGACTAACCTCAAGATTAAGATTTCATTAAAATATAACTTTGAAAACATGTGCCTAACATACAGTGGACTTATATTGTAAAGGGACTGTAGATACAGATTATTAAGATTTGGTATCTTGCTAGTATTAACAAGCACCGGCTATGACATTTGAATTGTTTCCAAGAGTTTTCAGATCCACCTGGTTATTTCCTGTTAAAAAAAAATATGAAGAGTGATAAAAACAAGGCCTTACTTCTTGTTCATGCCTTCGAGAAGAGGAACAGAGATCCTTTTCAGTTGGTCAGCAAAATCAGGCACATCTACAATTGCTGCACCCACAGTATTGTTTGTTATGAGACAAACACAAGCTATGGTTTTTAATTGATTGAGCTTTTCTCTCAACTCCTGAAGACGAACTTCATCTGTTATTAGAGTCTAGAATTGAAACAATAATACTAATTTAGGAATATGGAGGAAGAGAGGCAGGGAAAAGGACACCTATAGGATGCAGTCATGAAGCATTATTATTTTTAATCACAAATATGCAAAGTCAGAAGAGACAGCAGCTGAAATACCCTGAATATGTAGTGTTGCGCAAAGTGGCATTATGTACAAGTACCAGAAGTAAGCCTGTGGCGGGAAGAAAGGTAACACCTTCAGTGCAGAGGAAGCTGAGGACATTGCATCTTATTCCTCATCACTGCTGACAGCAATCTGCGACCAACAGTTCAGCCCATGATGTGGAATGCTCAAGGGATCCAGAGGACATTGTAGTGATCAAGGTTACAGACAGAATAGTCTTCTGGATTCAGCCGTCCTTTGAAAAATGCCATAATTTGTAATGATGCACAGTGAACAACTGTGAGTGACAACCACCAGTTCAACCACCAGAGCAGGTTCTGCAAGTGACACATAACCCGCTACAGGCAAAAAGCCAGTTGATCATACCAAGAACGTAAGTAGTTCCCAGAGCAAGATGTAGCTGGAGTGGCTTATTTTAGGTTAGAAAGAGTTCATCCTAACCAAAGCCCTCCACTGAGAAGCACAGGGGCATTAACATTCAGTTTCATAGTATGACAAACTAGATCCACCAGAGGATACCTGTGTGTAGCTCTTATTCAAAACTGTTCGAAGGAAGGTAAGAATAAGGTGGTTTCCCTTCTGTCCACTGACGGAGAGCACTAAGAGCATCCCCATGTATTTAGCAAATTCTCTGCCAGGCCACCTTAAGTATAGCTAAGACGCTCACTGCAGATGCTAATTTTAGCCCTGACTGATGGCCAATTTCAAATTGGCTTTACGGAAAGTTGCAGAGGTCAGTAATCGGGAGTTGGAGGGAAAAACTGAACAGTGATTCTTGAAGCAATAGCTTATATGCACTGAGAAAGTGTGAATATCTACTTTAGAGGGCTTCAAGTTTTTACCGATTCTGTTCTAAAGCAAGAGTGATCCCACCAATCCCTGCTGCCGTTAGGAAAACGGGATACTATAGTCATTTCTCTCAAAGATACAGAAAGCCAAGCGCTGTCAGTACAAGGCCCAGCCTTTGACCATGGCCAAGACTGCTCTTAGGGTGGAGCTGGTGAGCTGTTTCAGCAGCTAGACTAGCATATACTCTTCAAATTCACTATTCAGAAATTTAAGAAGTGCAAGAGTATACTTCACCTATTGTCATCAATAGCAGGATTATTATACTACACCAATGTTTTCATATAGCTAGAAATCTGAAGACACTGAAATACATTTCTTACCTCTGGAATTGTTTTGTGATAATCCCATTGTAAGAGTTTCAAGTAGCCGTTGTTTAGCACCAGTGTAGGACTAATAATTGGCTTAGAACTACTATCAGCACCAGGGGATGATGAAGATTCATCAGAAACAGATGACAATTCATCTTCTATTGATTCCTTTATCCATTCTGTTGTGAGGTCCAGGGCACCTAAGCATTGGAAATAAGCACAGGTTTACTGCATGCTTTCATCAAAATAAGCACTAGCTTGAGGAAAAGAGTTGTACATATAAACAAGAGTGCTTGAACTTCTGAAGACTAAACAAACATAGTGGACAGCTGAGTCTTCACATACCTAAATTCTCTCCCTCACTTTTTTCCACTGATCATCTTCCATTGGTCACCTTAATATTCTAGCTAGCTTTGTACAAACCCAACAACAAATTGTTAGGCTTCAGCCAAGATTTTTGGGTAAAAAAAAAAAAAAAGGCTCCAAGTCCGAGTTCCCAAAGCATTTCTTCCCTCTTTCAGGGAGGCCACTTAATAGGTGGGGCACAGGTCTGGAAAGTAGAGGTGAAGGGGATAAGCTGTATTAACAGCAAATGAAATGCATTTAAAGATTTCTGTCACAGGCCCTGCTCCAGATGTTAGTAAGTTTACTTTTTCGTCTTGGAAAATATATTTTCCTGAAGACCATTTAGCCACATTACACAAAACCTGTAATAGTGGATCAGGTTGACTTTGCATCACTTAGGAAGTTTTCCTCAGAGCCTGCCTTTTGTTTATTAAAAAATTGATCCTGTCCCTTCCAACTTTCAGGCACACTTAACTGGTTTTACATGTTTACTTCAGACTAACAACAGACTTGCTGCATACAAAAGAGATAAAGTTTCATCTTTCGGTATGTAGGATTTCTGCCTCCAGACAGTAAGAGCCACTGTTTGTTTTTCAGATACCAACCAATTTAACAAATACAAATTTGTCTGAAAGCACCCCAGATTACAGATAAACATACTTTATAGCAAGTTAAGCAATTGCCCATTGGTAGCTTGCTTTACATTAGTTAGATCCACACAAGAAATTGAAGTTTTCCTCCAAATTAACTGCAATTGATAGATTTTTATGGCATGTCTTTAAACAGTCCGCTTTTTAAAGAGAGGCTTAAATTAAATATAGCATGATACCTACTTGGTGTTTCTTCAAGAATTTCCTGGAATTTTGTTCTTTCATAGTCCACCAAATGACGCTGAAGGTATGGCCTAAGGTTTTGAATCGTGTAATTAGCCATATCCACTTTCATCAGGTCCAAAACACGGAATATTTGTCTGAAAGGAGGAGTTTAAAATTGGACAATTACAATAGTCTATTGACTTTAACCAGCACATGTGAGGTACACCTATATTAGCACTTTAATTTCAATCTGTGAGAAGTAAACTCCTTCACTGGTATTTCAGCGTAACAGATATGTTGCCTATCTTCCAGGATACTTGAAGGAGTATTGTGTGTAAGGCTTGGTGTAAGTTACAGAGAACAGGACGAATATGTAGCATCACTAAATGCTACAACCCTGTAACAGCAAGAGAAGGTTTTTCAAGAACTATATCAATTGGTACATTTCAGCCACAATGATCAGATTTTAACTTTTTAGTCACTCTAAATTGCACCAAGAGAAACAATACTTCTGATCCAGTTGCTTTGGTCCCTGCATATGATCCAAGTTGCAATAAAACTGTAGAACAACAACTACCATTTACTCTTAATATTTCCATGTACCTAAGGCACAGTAATCTGGTTTCTGCCCTTTTATGCATGTGTTTTACTCAAGTACAAGTAAAAAGATCTTTACTAAAGAGATTTTTAAATCCAAAGTTTGGCCTCCTAAAGGAAGCATGCAATAAACAGTTCAGGAAGGAACAGTACAAATGTTCTGCTTAAATTTTGTGAGATGAACAAGACTGAAAAAGCAGTCTCCATAACACAGATTATTGCAAGAGTGCACTTTTTGTTGTTCAGTGGCTTAGATATTCAGAGCTGGTAGTGTTTGATCTAGGCATTCTACTCATTTCATTAAAAAGTAAGATACACATAATATTCTGGTCACAGGGTGTCATAGCTCCTCCCCTTTAATGCTTCTGTATAAAAATAAGTTTTCTTATGGTTTGAAAGCAGGTGTTATGTAAACTGACACAATTTAAGACTTCTTTCTGAGACTTTAGCTCCCTTCTTCCACTGCCCAGTACTCTTTCAGAGAAGAAGTTTTTCCTCTAAAAAAGCCACCCAAATACCAACCTCAGTAATTCTACGATATTGTCAGTTGCTTTTAACTGTTTTATATCGTTGTCTCTTATCGGAGCACATAACTTTCCCATAGTGTTGATGATATAGGTAGCTAGCCCATGAATATCAACAGCATTATGTTCTGCCTGCTGTCTTATAAGATCTGTATCTAGAACTTCACAAATTTGATTTTGAATCCTGTTTGCTCCAGGAGTCAGGAAAGAAAGAAGAATCTAAAGTGGAGGGAAAAAAAAAAGGAAAAGCTTATCAATAAAAACCAAACCACTTAGTAAACACACCGAAATAAGATTTTAATTTTAATGTGTCAAGAGTATTTAGCTGACCAACTATAATAAGACACACTAAGACTGAACACATCTAAGGTAGCAGGAAAAGGACTGTCAAAAGTATCACAGTACAGTTCTGCAAAAATGCTTAAAGCCAGTAAACCAGAAAGCATGTCAACAACGAGACTCATTCAAAAACTGGGAGGCTGCCCTGTAAAACAAACATTTACTAACTTAAAAATTTTGAAAGACTTAGTATTGTGCCAGGATTGAAGGTTTGTATGCTCCCTTGTATGACGATCATAAACAATAAAGTCTATTTGGGCAGGTGCAGTCATGTTTATACTCGTGTTCATGCCCTAAGCTCACAGTATGTTGCTGGAAAGAGGTTAGTAGAGATGTGAAGCTCTGAGAAAATAGCTGACTTGTATCTAACCATCATGCAATGAAAGCTGAGCGGACACGCCACTGCGCATATGTGGCTATATTCATGGTTAATATAAATATACTATAAATAGACACCTATTGCAGTTCTGAATAATCATCGTTTCATCTTAAAAGACAGAACTTGAAGGTGTTGGCTTGACTGAGTTAGCAGACCCTTCAGTGAAGTAAGAGACTCTCAGACCTAAGCTGACAAAACAATACTAGGAGCAGGGGAGGAGGAACATTACCTCCTTAATTTCCTCAAAGAGCTTGATAGCATGTTCATATTCTGGAGGATCTTCATTCAGTTCCGATTCCAAATGATCCCAAAACGCCTTGTGTACAATTTGTTTCACTGTGCCTGCAAGGCTGTGGAATAAGTCAATTAGATACAGAAATGACTCCCAACTAGCTTTCATCCTCAGTAAAAGTGTTTTAGATTGGCCTAATCACTTGTTGGGAAACACACAACACCTCACCAGCTATTGTGCCCTGCAACCATATCTTTCTTGGGCTGTGGATCATCGGCTCCCAAAACATGGTCTAGACTGACAAGTCTTTCCTAAAACACCTGTATTTATAAAGTGGTGCTGGCAAGTCACATGTAGGTAAAGAGATATTACCCTTCCTTATCAAACTTGTATTCATTGTCCTAACCTGGTATGTTATATACAAAGCTTCCTCAAAAACTATTCTCTGTCATATAACCAATTATCAGTTAAGGGACTTGTGCAATTAAAAACCTGTTTGTTTTTTTACATAGAAGTTTTCTCAAAGTAAAGACCAGGGTCATTTTTAAGTTAGATGTGTCTGTAAGCAAGAACATTTTAGCTACCTACATTAGGGAAGCTACTTCTCGCTTCCTCTGGACCTCCAGGTATTTTTGCATCTCTTCTTGGGCTAATGTTAGAGCTATGTTCATGATGAGCTCTATCTTCTTATCACTATGGCACCAATGAGCTACTACATACAACTGCACAGAAGGCCACCATTTCATCTTTTCCACAGGGCTTGGAACTGCACAGAACAGACTGATACTCACCTTCACTATGGGCATTCATATATTGCATTAGCCTTTTCTCTTCCACATGACATTTAAGACAGACAAATACGCTCCAAGACAGTACATCAACTCAGCTGGACTGCAACACTTGTTCCAAGCAAGATAGCTTTGGCAGTGACTCCTGGAGGATAAAAATCTGTAGCCTTCCAAGATGTTTTGGTTTGGCTTTTTTTTTGTTTTGGTTTTTGGTTTTTTTTAATTTGCTGCTCCTTTCATTTCTCTTCCTAACCCCAGTGCTGCTTTTTGCAAAATTCAGGCTCTTACCTGTTCCGTGGCAAATCTTCATCTTTTATGCAAAAGTTTGCATTTACAGCAATTTCATGAGCTAGAGTCAAGTCTGTCAAATTTCTTGCAGCTGCCATCAGTTCATCAAATGTAATAATCTTGGGAGGGCTTGCTGCTGGAACAAACAAGATCAATTCAAGCCAAGTATCTATAGTTGATAAGTGCAATTGAAAAAATATTAAAATTTAGAAATTTTACTGCTTGCTAATTGGACTCTAGTACTCTAGAAGAAACACCCTTAGGATTACCAGGTCTTTATATCTTCTTAAAACACTAACTCAGGGAACTCCCAGCTTATCAAGGGTGTGTGTGTGGGTAATATCGCACAAACCTCATAACATTTTGAAGAGCAATTTCATATTTCTGCATCTTAACTAAGATACCCTTTTTCCTTTAAAACAGGATCTTGCATTCCGCAGATTTCCTATTGACTGTTTTGTAAACTCCACCAGACCAAAAGCATGGGCAATAACGGATACCAGATGTCCATTATAATTCTGAGCACATCATGGCTATATTGTGGTTTTATTGCCTGTAGAGAAGGTTCTGAAGTTACTGACTTGAGAACCCCCCACTTATGCTCCATAGCAGGTACGTAGTAAGGTACACTCCCTTTTTACAAATCAGTGTTAACAACATAACAGAAACTCTACACTGGAAAGCAAGAGTAAATTCCCAAGTTTCTAAACCCCCAAATTCTGTCATTTAATTTAGTATTTGGAATTAAGCCTTCGAAGACTGGTAATAAAGAAAGACAAAGAGTCAGCTGCAAATTGCAGCTCCACTAACAAGCTTGTTTTAATGTATGACTTCACTTACATAGATGCTAAAAAGCATGCATGGTCTGAGAATGCTTACAAACATGAACATGAAGCACATCTTAACCAACGTTTTCTCACTACTCAAAATACTTGCCTTGTGCAAATGTGTGCTTTCTGTTTGATCTTAATATTTATGAAAAAATGTGAATTTGAGATTAATTTCATGTAACTTGATGTAATATTATAAATCTGTAAGTTACAGATTTAATTTTTAAGTGTATGGAGCAAACAGAAGAAACCCACCCTTTGCACAAAGCCGTATCTGGTTGAGTGGGAGACCACTACCAATGTCATGATTAGCTCAAGATTAGGATGTCCACAGTGGCACACTTTTCTTACACTTTCTGAAGGGAAGGAGTGCACAGGGAGACCCCCACGGATACAGCTGCTGGTGGTGTTCCACACACAAGGAGATGACCTGCTTCACAGCAGAGAGAAAGCCATGCCTTTCTCTTAATACTCAGAATACTCAGAACAGAGATTCAGAATCCCAGGTTCTACCCATGACAGCAAAGAGAAATGAGATAAGTTAGCCTTATCTGTCTATGCACAATGCAGGTAAGGTTGAAATAGGCTTACACGCTGGGGAACTGGGTTTGCTTGAAGAATCACTGTTAAAGCTCCGTCTTGAATATTCAGAGTCGCTAGAAGAAGCTGTGCTTTCAGAGAGGCGTGACGAATCTGAATCACTGTTCTGGTCATCACTGAGAGGCATTCTGATTCACTTTAGTTGCTACAGTAAACAAGACCTGGAAAGACAAATAACACATCTCATAAAACCAGCACTTACTATTTTTTTGTTTGTTTCTGAAAAGTCCGATACTGATCATTATATTGTCAATGAAGAAAAGTAGTTGCCTTTCTTAAAAAGCTGTTACAGAAAGGATCTGGCTCGATGCGCAGAATCATACCGTTATTAACAAACTACACCTGTTCTGCAAGAAAGTTTTATACCTTCTGCTGTTTCATACTTTAATAGTTATATTAGAGACAGTCTGTAAATTGGTTATATTTTAAAAATAAAAGACTACCCACGGTAACCCCTGAAGTTGCTTGTTTGTTGGAATTTTGGAAGTTCTCAACATCCATAAAGGCATCTCATGATGTTACCATCCCCCACCTGACTTCACCAACAAGTGCTGTTTAGCAATTAGCTTCCTTCCACAAACAGACTGCACGGAGTGTAACAACTCCGAAGCAAACACAGAAGTTGCTGGGGGAGAACAGGCAAATAATTCAGAATACTACATTTCTGACAGGGTGTAGCTAGAAGTCTGGCCTGCTGTTTTAGGTGGGTCTTTGCTCAGAATCAGATGGCAATGGCACAGACCCAAAAAAAATACTCCTCCTAGGGATGAGGGTTTTCTGTTTTAAGTCAAATGGTAACTCTGAGCCTCTAACATTACGTTCAGCATACATGACAAATAAGACTGAGAAGTGTCACGTCTGTCTACATAAAGAAGCTGCCTCCCAGGCAGATAATCTGCAACTGCAAAGAATTTGGACAGCTGCATACTGTGATAGAGATGATTAATAGCTGTACGACAGGAAGTGAAAAATACGTTCATAATCATATTAAAATGAGAACCTGGAAGTCAGCCATAATTACTACCAAAAGAATTTGGCCCAGATACCAAAAGTAGCTGTCCATCTTTGATTACGGCCAGGAAGCATTCTGTAGTAGACTTCATGAAGAGACATAGCCAACAATGCTTTCCATCAGCAAATTTAAGTAAGATGACTCCATTTATGATAAAATTGCATCAACTTCAGCAGGCGAAGAATACCACGCTTTGCAACTGTTGAACTTGGGAGAAGCCACTTTTGGCAGCAAAAGTATGATCTTTGTGTGTATTTATGTGAACCAAGGTATTGTTGGGTCAAGAGGTAGATAAAAGGGAGTAAAAAAAGATTTCTTTTTTTATGCTGGCACCTAGTTACAGCTTAGAGTGTTTGATTTTTCAGGTGCCAGCTCATCCTGAATAGGCCTTTATAACTTGACAAGGTATTAACTGATGAGTACTCCCCTGTTAATTGAGATGATTAACATTTGTTAAGTGTATGTTTATTCCTCCTCTCCCAAGAGGAAAGAGGATGCATTTGAGTGCCATATTTATGTAATGTTTTATGCTGGTTTTTGTGAAAAGAATGAATCACATCAACAAGAACACAGCTGACAGTTTATTACCTTACTGGAGAAGCCAGTAAGAGAGACTTTTGATCAGGACACGAGGTCATGGGTTCAAGACTTACAGCATTCATTGTGATCCTTGATATCATAACTTTTATTAGAACAGCAATTTTATAACTTCTAACAAGCAACTGAAAACAAGCAGATATTTAAAATAGTATTGACTAAAGACAGAGTTGAGAGAGAACCTAGAAAACCAAAAGGCTAAATATTTTTGACTTTGAAATTTTATTTGTCCAAGTTACAATTAGAAATGAGTCACTAGTTAACATTACACAAGAGACTAAGACTATTTCTTTGATTAATATCTGTGTTATAGATGTCACAACTAATTTCTAGTCAGTGCTAGCTTTGCCAAGTAACCTACCTGTAGAACGCACTCCAGGTTCTTGATGTGGAACCGCTCACTTAAAAACAGTAACCCTACAGAGCCTGCAAAGCTTACATTACTCTCCCACTATTGTTTCTAGATCAGCATCAGAACACTATTTTCAAGCTTTAATCATGTATAAACCCCCTTTTTTTATACATAAATAACTAACCTCAAAAAGGTTAATGTTGCATGTGGTCCATTGAAAGAATTGATTAAGGTTGTTAGCAGCGTACTGGCCCAAAAGGTCTCGTAAATCACTCGCCTAGTATGAGCACTTCAAGATGCGTCTACTGCTTCAGTCTAGGTGTTAAGAACATGGAAAAATTAAATGACCATTAAAAACCCAAAATTCTCACACAATTTATGCATCATAATTTCAAGTACTTCCTCTTAACTGTCAGTATGATAATTCTAATAAACATTCAAATTCATAAATATTCAAATATTCAGATTTGCAAGGTGGTCCAGACAGCAAGTACTAAACCAGCCATGGAAGCAAGTCAGCATTGCCATTTTTTACTCCAGTCTTGATTCCCAAGAAGGCCAAATAGTTCAGGTAGAAGTTAAAATTCTATATACATTAAGTCTTTACATACTAGTCCCAGCAAAGGATCTTTTGGCAACAAATACTTGCATTTCAAGGAGACCCATGACATACTTTGATGTACTAAGACCATACCTGTTCCTACAATACAAGCACACATACAGATAGAATTGCCAATAGAGTGCTTCAGAAGACTTAAAGAAGTTTCAGCAATGCAACAGGAGACAACGCACTAAAAAAACACTGCAATCTTTGCCACAGTAAATATATTTCCTAGTAGGATGCCTCAAATGGAACGGTAAGGAAGAATGGGTGTATTCTGCAGATTCAGAACATTATTGCTAAATTCTAAGTTTAAAAGATAAACAAGGCAGCAACTACATCAAAGTAAACATAAATGAACACACAAGCAGAATCCAGATATGCCATCTACGGTTTTTAAATACGCCACCCGACAGCTAAAAAGCTTAGAGAAAAGTATATTCATTGAGCATATCAAAGGGAAGTACAAACCAGAAAAAAGGCTTTGTAATTAGTTACAACAATAGACAACAGACTTACTTAGTCCTTTTCTTTATAGCATACACTGGAAGAGCTGCTTTTCCTTACGTGTTTGTAGACAGCATAGAGCTTCTCAAATTACTAAGGGCCAAGTTCACATGTAATTTTTAGTTTAGATTAATATAATTCTCAAGTAAAAATATTTCAGAGAACCCTTTAGCCTTCCAAGATCTCTTTGTAACTCACCACCTTGAATAGACAATACATCTTCTTATTGAGTTGGTCATTAGGTATTACATATTAGGCTGTTGTTTTAATACACAGCTTAATATCCTACCTATTCTATTAAAGGATGAGCCTGTGGTTACAACCTGCTTTACTCTTCTTGCATTAAAAACAACTGATGTTTACTTTTATATTAGCTTGGATACCTTCACAGTGGGCTTCATTACACTGTTTGCTTTCTGTCGATCAGCGCTATTTTGCAGGTTTTTTTAAGGATATACTCTAAATGGGAGACCAAGCTAAAAATAGCTTCTAAATGTACAAAACCCAAGATTCCAGTTAATTTAACAAGGAAGAACTAAGTTATCATGGTTTCTGCTGCTATTTAGACAGTTTTGGATTATTCTTTTTAGTAAAGATGCCATGAATACAACACCGTAGCAGCATAAAGGCATCTTGCTCTTATACAGTCACCGCATCACCCAACCCGATCATTCACTTAGAACTGATCAAGGCTGCAAGATCAGATTAGTTTTAGAGAACACAAACACACTTTTTATTCCTGAAGACTTCCCTTAGAAGTTATTTCATGAAGCACCGGTGGGGGGGGGGGAGACAGTTTGGAAGGGGATTTTTTTCCTTCAGATACCATCTTCAAGAAAAGTTTTTCCACAGCTCTGCTTTGTTCCAGTAAGTCCCTCCATCCATGCGCACTTTTTAAGTGCTCTGTCCAGTTTTACCACTACAAATGTCTTAACTTCGTTTATTCTACTGGGCTTAGATCCTTACTATCTTCAAGCTGGCACCGACTGAATCTCATTTGGGCTCGAGTTTCCCTTTCCCTGACTCCACCTTTGTCAGCACTCACGGCACAGGAGCAGAAAAGAGCCTTTGTTAAGGGTGACGGGATTTGCCTCATTTTTGACAGCTTAGAGGCGACATTTCCCTCCTTTAGCGTCCTAGCTCCGCAGCTCTTCCCTTTATACATAAGCTTCTCTCGCTGGAGGCTTAGAAACAGCTAAGAGCGCGACGAGCCGGCGTCCCCGCGGCCCGGACAGCCAGGGGAGCTGCCCTCGCCTCAGAGACCGGGGAACGCGCCCCGCCAGGGCCGCCCCGAGGCCGCAGGGCCCCCGAGGGGAGGCCGGGGCCGCCCCTCCCGCCCCGCCGCCGGCTCCCCTCAGCGACGCACGCTCCTCCTCTTCCTCCATCTGTTTCGCCGTCCGTCTCCTCCCCCGGCCCCATGTTTTTAACAGTTACCAGAGGCAGGAGTTTGGCACCCGCCGACCAAAACAAACAGCGTTACCAAGGACGGGCCTGGGGGGAGGGAGGGAGGAGGAGAAGAGAAGGGGGAACCCTCTCTCTGCCAGCCGCGGGGAAGGCGAGCCCGGCTGCCCGCCTCCAAGCGTCCCGGCCTCGCGGCCCCCGGGGAGGGAGCCAGGGTGCCCTTGCTCGGCTGGAGCGGGGCTGGAGGGGGGAGCCCCCGCGGCTGCGCCCGTCGGGACGGATCGTCCCGGCAGACAGCGGGCACTGAGGGGCGGGGACAGCCCAGGAGACAGGGGGCACGGGGTGCGCTGCGGACCCAGCGCCGAGGCTGCGAAACCCCCCTGCTGCAGCGGTAGCACCGGAGCGCCAGCTCGCCACCCCCACCGCGCGGGAGGGCAGCAGCCCCCGGGCTAGCGCTGACCCGGACTCACCCCGCAGCTCATCGCCTGGACGCGCCCGGACACCCAGGCGTGTGCTGCACGGTACCGCCGTCGGACGGCTCGGCCACGGCCCCAGCCCCTGCTCGCCCCGGTCACTCACCGCAACGCGGCAGCGGCTCGCCCTCCTGCGCGGCGCTGGCCGGGGCTTGGAACCCCCCCGGATTTATGTGCCCAGCCC